CCGTAGCGAAGGAAGGCATAGGCCATCCCAAACTCTGGCTTTGTTAGGTTGAAACTGTAGCGCTTTAAAGGTCTCCACGTCAACCAGTCCGATGCTCCCTTCTCCCGAGCCAATCCGAAAGAGTGCTTAAACGAGTAAGGAGAGTTGAGAATGATTGTGTCGAGCTGCTCAGACTGCAGGCGTTGAACCTGTCCCTGAACAATACGCCACTGCTGTCTAATCATCGGCATTGCATCGCCAAGACTCGGCAAGAGCAAATTTAATTCTCCCCACATAATGCGACGAACGAGGCTGTCGGTGATTATTACGGAGGACTGTTGTGGTAGTATGCAGGGCCTTACGATGCCCAATCCACCAAGGGTTGATGAAATATCTATACCTAGGCCCACAATCAAGCAGAACATCCCACCAACCGCGCAGTTGGAAAAGCCTGCCAGCAGTTGATGGATCATCGGAATGGAGCCGACTGCCCCGGTCAGGGCCGGCCCGAGGCTGACGAACAAGTGGCATCATACCGGTCGCATGCACGTGCATAGCCTTGGGTTGTCCCGGGGAATGTCCCCTCGGGTTCGGGTCATTGCCACTGATCGGATTTCTTTGTGACTTTCACCATAGAGACAGTAATCATGTACATGTACATGTATACTGTCTGTACCAAAAGCTGTCTGTTGTGATAGACTCAAGTAGGCCCCCGTGTAATATGCCGGCATTTTTTTTAGCATTTTCGGTACAATCCGCGAACCCAGCACTTTGGGCTCGTGATGCAGCATTTTGGGGGAAACGCAGCACTTGGCCGTTGTGTATCAAAATTGAGAGAAGAAAAACTTCCCAAACAAGAACGTCACTTCCGCATTCCGTGGGTTAGCTTCTTGTTGAGTAGTTTATGTTTACCATGGCAGACTCGAGCAAGTCTCTGAGTATTTTCTGACTCCCTGGTTTTGACTGCGTTTGCTGAGGATTACAAAAAGTGAGCATTTTCCGAGCATTTTCGGCAAGGTTTGGGAGCATTTTCGGCAAGGTTTACGAGAATTTCTCAAAAGCATTTTCGGCAAAGTTTCGGGCATATTACACCGGGGCCTAGACTCAAGCTCACACTGACAGACTACAGTCTACATGACTTGTACTAGTCAATGCCAGTCGAGTCTGTGCACTAGTATTGGTAGTATTAGTACAGTATACTATAAACCTGATCTACAGTAACCGGAGGATATACCTGTACCCAGTGTGCTGACAGTGCTCAACAACATCGCGGAGGCAGAGCAACAAGGACAATCAAGCCATTCAAGGCTTGTTTGCTGCTACTTCAAACCTGGTCTAATAATACCATAAACTTGGTCTAATAACAATGTCATGTACTATAAACCTAGTCTAATTAATACTGCTTCAGCGCAGCAGCCCCGCTCCATGTTTAGCAACTGACGAGGGTCACCAGGAATGTGCTTTGCCTGTGCTATTTTTGGTGCTGGTTCATTCCAATCATTGTATCAAAGGCGAAGGTGAGAAGTTGTGAGAACTAATACATGTACATTGTCATTGTACATGTAAGCAGGCGGCCCTGCGGGTGCGAGGAACGTTTTAGAATACAATCATGTTCAAGTATACACAAATATTCAATGCCAAACAGAGACTGAGAGAGGTTTCAAGCTGTCCAGTATGCAGTACAGTGTCAGTGCTCAGTGCAGAGGAGTAGAGTGCCCTAGTCTAGAACTACCCCAACGGGAAGAGATGCAAACTGTGCACTCCGAGTTGCACGTACATGTACTAGTACAAGTGTACAATCATGCACATGGCCACGTACATGTATAGGGCTCATCGGGCAACAGAGTGTTGTCTGGAATTCGGAGTGTTACACATTATGTTTCCTCTTCTTCCTTCTCTTTCTCTCTTTTTCTTGTACATGTACATGTACATGTATACACAATGGCATGTAAATGTAAAACTTAAAAAGCAATACTGCAGCACACGTCGTGACAATACCCTCACGCATCCTCTTGACTGAACTGCAGTTTATGTTTTGATGAGCGGAGCAGCACCAGAGAATGACTCCATGCTGATTTCCAACTGATCAAAAATGTTGATGACGCTTGAGCACAACGACTAGCAATAGTCAATCATTTATTACCACCAAGACCTTCCCAGCCCGTCCTGACCTTCATTCCGACAAGATCGAGTCTGCTTGGTTGGAAATAAAAGGTCCACTTGGCTGCCATTTGATTGGTTGTATCTACCGTCCCCCCGGGGAATCAGTATCTTACTGGACAGACCTAGAAGCGGTGATCCTGCGTGCCAAGCTGCAATCGGCCTCCATTACAATGGTTGGTGACTTCAACGTCAACATGGACCCAAAACAGCCTGGTCCCCAGCATCACTATCTCAGTGACCTCTGTGCCGCCTATGGCCTCAAGAACATCGTTAGAGAACCCACTCGTGAAACTCCCCGCTGTCCGAATGGTACTATAATTGATCTCATTCTGGCTGACCCTACCCATGCAACTGTAGCTACTGTCGTACCTCTTGATATCAGTGATCACAGTGCCGTGGAGTGCAATATCCAGGTCGATGTTCCCCGGACTACACGGCAGGCCCCAAGGCATATGCGAAGAATCCATAAGATGTAGTGTCTCTCTCTCTCTCTCTCTCTCTCTCTCTCTCTCTCTCTCTCTCTCTCTCTCTCTCTCTCTCTCTCTCTCTCTCTCTCTCTCTCTCTCTCTCTCTCTCTCTCTCTCTCTCTCTCTCTCTCTCTCTCTCTCTCTCTCTCTCTCTCTCTCTCTCTCTCTCTCTCTCTCTCTCTCTCTCTCTCTCTCTCTCTCTCTCTCTCTCTCTCTCTCTCTCTCTCTCTCTCTCTCTCTCTCTCTCTCTCTCTCTCTCTCTCACTCTCTCTCTCTTTCTCTCTCTCTCTGTCTCTGTCTCTGTCTCTCTCTCTCTCTCTGTCTCTCTCTCTCTCTCTCTCTCTCTCTCTGTCTCTCTGTCTCTCTCTCTCTCTCTCTCTCTCTCTCTCTCTCTCTCTCTCTCTCTCTCTCTCTCTCTCTCTCTCTCTCTCTCTCTCTCTCTCTCTCTCTCTCTCTCTCTCTCTCTCTCTCTCTCTCTCTCTCTCTCTCTCTCCAGTGTCTGGCTCTCAGGTTCTCACTCTTCATACGCAGTCTTTCTTCTCTCCCTTTCCCCCATGGTGCGTGATGTGCGCCTTGATCCCGAGACCATTGGTCGGGGGGAGCGCACTTCACCTCACCGGCACAGCTCAATAGCACCTACACGCCCTTTGTAGTCCCCTATGTCTATGAAGGCGCGTCTGGATGACTACAGATTGCCAGGCCTAGGGATAGATGTAAGCAAATTGCCATGGGTGAACCGTACTTCCTCTGCTCATGGCTGCATGCATGCATATGTGCCTATCAATTCTCATTGGTCTTTAGCACTGCATTTTAGTCCTTTGATGGTAAGATAGATGTGGATGATTTGATGGTAGAAAGGGGAGAGAGTGAGAAACAGCTGGTGAGGGAGCTGATCTCTCTCTCTCTCTCTCTCTCTCTCTCTCTCTCTCTCTCTCTCTCTCTCTCTCTCTCTCTCTCTCTCTCTCTCTCTCTCTCTCTCTCTCTCTCTCTCTCCTCTCCCTCTCACTCTCTCTCTTTCTCTCTCTCTCTCCCTCTCACTCTCACTCTCACTCTCTCTCTCTCTCTCTCTCTCTCTCTCTCTCTCTCTTCGGCGGAGCTCCCTAAACCTCACCACCACTCCCATTCTCCCCCTCCCCACACCAACCCGCACGTCCGCACACCACTGTCAGCATCAGCAGTGCCAGGACACTACACTGTAGTAGTACTAGTAGTACTAGTACTAGTGGTAGTACTCATGACAGTCATGTTCTTCAAGTACTAGTAAGTAGTAAGTAGTAGTCAGTGATACATGATTGTAGTTCTTGCTTTTCGTTCCCATCTGCTGTCACAGGGCATAGGGCGGTACATTGTACACGTACTGCGGTCTGCGCAACGTCTCACCAAGACTAAGTACGTACTGTCTTGGTACCATGCCATCCATGATGGTCTCACTGACTCAGCAGAGACCATCGGTTGTACATGTACATGACACATGACACATGATTGTATGTCATTACAGTCATACTGTAGTGGACAATGACAGACCCAGTGCGCGTGGTCTGAGTGCACGTGGACCATTTTTATTTTCACTTTCGACTTCCGCGATACCCATGCTTGTATGGAACATTGTGAACAGCAGGGAGTTGTATTAATACTTTCATTATCATAGTAGATCTACTCACCCAGACTGCCCTTCGCAGCGGACACGCATCGTCGGTCAAGCCTACCAACGCCCGCAAAGCCTGGTCAGGCTACTGTTCTAACTAATAATTACTTCTGCTGGTAGAGTCGACTCGGGATAGGCCGTGCGTGATAGCAATCTACTTCTGTAGTGCGTGTTGCATCAATCATGCTACGTCTACAAGACTAGATCTACACTGACTGTCCTTCATACTACTCAAAACGAATGTACAATGTAACTTATTACTTTATAATTATTCAATAAAGTTTGGTGCCTGCCTTTTGCTAGCTTGGGCCTGTACCTGGATCTCTGCTGAGCTGAAGACTAGCACGAGGAAAGAAAGCCCACTGTGATTTTACCAAGACATTACTCTCTCTCTTGAAATCGTATTATGCAGGACAGAGTTTGTACATAGGAAATAAGGAAGCCTTGACTGAATCTTAATACCATCTCTGAACAACTCCCACAAACTGATGAACCTCATGACATGTTACATAACAGTTTACCACACCAGCGACTTCCTTCACTACGTAGTGAGTTGTGTCTACATCTGTACCTGTTATTCTTCACTCGGCGCTACAAGACACTTACCGGTAGATCTACAATCGACTACCATGATGTAGATCATCAAGCAGCTTGCCCACAGAACCAGTTGATACACTCATACCATACACAGACCAGGCACACTGAGTACAACTACATGATGTGAAGTAAGCGGCTTGTGTCTCTTCTTACTCTGAGTCTGAGTTCGATGATCCCTCGTTTGTGGTGATGCATAGACTACGAGTCTACGTAGTTGCAAAGATTTCTGCAACAGGTTTTGCGTGCTGCCTGCTGGTCGAATCAGGAGATAGCGGCCAGGTGGCTGGCGCACAAGGAGTTGCGGGATTATTACCTATCTTCAACCAGTGCAGAGTTTAGAGGTGGCTGGACCAATTAAAATTAATCCAGGCACATGTAAATCACCAAGTACTAGTATCGAGTAACGGTTATCTGCGAGGTCTACCCAGTATTATTATCGTCATCACAATGTAATGGTGTTTTCAGGGCGACCAGCACTCATCGCACTTCTTTTGTGCCTGGCCGTTGTCTACTATGTCGTGAACTACGAGCGACGCTTGTCCACCAAGCGTCGGCGAGCTGTTGTTCAGCAGCCTCATGAGGACAATGAACAGCTTGCTGCGCCAAGTGGCCCTGGACGACAGGTGGATGCAGCAGCACCACCACCAGTCCAGGTCGGGTGGACGACGGACGCCATTGGCGTCCCTGAAAGGAAGGAGGCGGAAGCGCCAACGTATGAAGTGGACAATGGCGGCGGCGGAGACGATGGAGCAGTGCGCGTTCTACGCGGCGTGCGATTGCCTCCTGCTCGACCATCGGATCGCATGCTAGAGGTGGGTACATCTTGGCATCGCTACGGCAAGCCATTCCACAACGTGAGACTGCGCACGCTGTGCTTTGTATTTCAATGCCAGCCTGGGCCACGCGGTCAGCTGGTGGCATTTGCCCAGCGCCTGGAGGGGATATTTGACCCTTCCCGGAGGCAGTACTTACTTCTATGGGTGCACGAAATGGGGGACCTTGTAGCTCTACTGAAAATGGAAGGTGAAGAAATAAAACGTACTACACTGGAGGGAACATTCTGTGACGGCAAGCACAAGATTGTTACGCTGAAAGTTGTCAAGCCTACAAGGATATTACTGACAGCTCACTCGGTTGCTGAATCACCCATGGGTGATTTTGAAGGCCACGCGGAACGTGCTCTGGCGGAGCGCTTAGACCAGCTAGGCAATGTCACTGTCGACTCGGGCTTGTACCTGGGTGCAGTGCCTGACCAGAGCTATCTAAGAGATCACGACGGCATTCCGGCACTGGACAGCCTGCACGGTCGCCTGCATTCACAGATACTGGTGAACGGTGTGCGCAGCACATACATGGGCAGCAGCAGCACCACCAGCAGCAGTAAGGCGTTAGACCGTGGGACTACACTTGAAGCAGCGGGAGAGAGTCTGAGTAGGGCGATCACGAACCTCTCGGGACCGGTGGACGTTGGCAACACCATTAACCAAGCACCGGTGGACCTGCATAACATAACAGTGAAACAATTTCCAGTTCTGAGTGCTCTCAGCGACAGCCACTACAGGGAAATTGCAGGCCTGATTCAGTCCGTTCATAAGACAATGCCCCGGAGAGGCATCCTGATCTATGACCTCGGACTAATAGAGCGATACGTCAAGAAGCTGAGAGCGCTGCAGCGGGTAGCAGTGCGCAAATTCCCTGCAGAGCTCTACCCAGATTTGGTGCAAGACCTCTACCAGTATCGTTTCAAACCGATGCTCATTCACAGCGGGCTGCAGACGTTTGGTGGTGTAATCTATGCAGATTCGTCCATTCGCTTCCAGCTTCCAGTGTTGCAGATCCCCCAGTTGAAGTATAGCCCCGGTGTGATGCTTTTTGCGCCAGACAGCATCTCGCCGCTACACGCATACACACACGGTGGCATGCTGAAGTACCTGGGACTGAGTCGTGCAGACGTCACCAATGGCACGGTGGTCATGGGAGGCCTTGGCGTCTGGGTGGACAAGCCATTCACCGTCGATGTCCTGCTGCCGCTCTGGCTGAGATGCGTACTCGACAAATCGTGCATTGCACCACCGGGTGCCAAGCTTATGCCATGCGACCAAGTAGTGTCCAGTTCGCCAGTGCCATTGACATCTGCTGCAGTTGGTCGGTACCTTGGCTGTCATCGTTATGACCAGAGTGCGCTGAGTTGCTTCTTGCTGAAGATATCGCGCACGCAGAAAGCAGATATGAGCGACATAATCGTTCCAGACTCGGTCGTTTCCAAATTTGTTGAGGTCAAGCGGATGTGAGACCCAAACTGGAAAAGCCATGCAGGACTGATGACCGTGGCCAGCAGGGGCATGGCTCACGCATCTGTGGTGTGGTGACCATATATCAGACTGTACAGCTGTGGTGTGGTGACCATGTAACGTTATCAGACTCAGTACGGTACACCTGTGGTGTGGTGACTATATACCATCGGCAACCTCATAGGTGCTAGTTTGTCTGTTAGGACTACTGTACATATATATACATGTAGTGCCTAGATGTATAATGACCATTTGCTGGTGTGGTGACTGGACCATGCTGACTATACACGAGCTGCACGCCTGGCCAGTTGTGCTGCTTGAAGCTAGCCAGTGCATGTCACGGCTAACATTGTGCTCTGCCGAATGTTGACCATATCGATGAATTCGAATTTGGTAAGCTACTAGTATACTCGTACTTGCACTGTGTCACAGTAGGTAATCTACATGGTTCTACAGTCAGGCCTCGCTTATCCGGTCCTCTTTTATCTGGATCCCTTGCCATCTGGAAGAAAATCGTTTGTTACCGACTTACAGCACATGTCAGGCATGCATTGTATATACAGCATAATGTGTTCGATTATCCGGTTCCCTCGCCTATCCGGATATTTTAGTGGAAATTAAGCTGTCTTGTCTGCTACAGTCACCATCGACACATCATCATACATGTACAGAGAAGGGCCAGGAAACTAGTCGTCAAGCGGGTAGCCGGGTAGCCGAGAACCCGCTTCCTAGAAGACGAACTTGATAGTGACTGGATACGCGGTATCACCAGGAAAAAGGTCACAAAACGTGACAAGCGTGGTGACATCAGACTATAAAAAACCCACCTTTACCGGCCAATACAAGTCATGTACATTGCCTTCGACTCGGCTGCAAAATCAATTATTTAGTACAGAACTTATTACTTGGTCAATCGTGGTGAGCGGATCTGCTCACCGTGCAAGCTTCCCGAAGAACTCGATTTTTTGAGGGTGTTCTTTATGAAAAATGGCTAGGCAGAACAACTGGTCAAAAAGCTCGCGAATGCTGATAAATCAGGGAAGTATTAAACAGTTTCGTGAGATTGGTCCGGAACCATAGCGTGCCTATTCCGCTTGCCGTGGAAAGGTGAAGCACCAAAGAAAGCTGTACCTGCGGTCAGGTATGTGGTCAATGACACGTACAGACATGTACTTGTACGCGTGTATACGTGTAGTAGCAAGAGTTCATAACCCCTGCCGTGGGGGTTATGAACTCTTGGTAGTAGTTAGTACTTGGCTGTCAGAGTACTAGAAGATCTACTAACGCCCGCCGCGCCCGTGTTCACTACAGTAGGCGCATTACATTCACGGTGATATGAGGAGGGATGTTCTTCCTACCCCCAAAAAGGAGCCATTTGCTCTCCCACTTTGAATGTCGTGATAGCCAATAATATGATTGTAGCCTATTGTAGGAAGAACTGTTCAGCACCTGCGGAGTGAGGGCATTAGAAGCAATACGTGCCATTATTCAGTCTGATCTGCCCTAAGCTGCTCGAGCCAAATGTCCTAAACGTGGGAGGCCTCGCAAAACATTGAACATTCACACACAACGCCGCTTCAGTGGCTTTGGTGCTCCGCGATGCCGGCTGAGGCTGACTCTTCCGGAAAAATTATCACGATGTTTTTTTATTTATTTTTATTTTTTTATGAAAGTGCACATGCCTACATAGAATGGAAGAGAACAACAAGAACATCAAGACATAGGGGACTACAAAGGGCGTGTAGGTGCTATTGAGCTGTGCCGGTGAGGTGAAGTGCGCTCCCCCGACCAATGGTCTCGGGATCAAGGCGCACATCACGCACCATGGGGGAAAGGGAGAGAAGAAAGACTGCGTATGAAGAAGGAGAACCTGAGAGCCAGACACTGGAGAGAGAGAGAGAGAGAGAGAGAGAGAGAGAGAGAGAGAGAGAGAGAGAGAGAGAGAGAGAGAGAGAGAGAGAGAGAGAGAGAGAGAGAGAGAGAAGAGAGAGAGAGAAGGAGAGAGAGAGAGAGAGAGAGAGAGAGAGAGAGAGAGAGAGAGAGAGAGAGAGAGAGAGAGAGAGGAAGAGAGGGGGGAGGGGCGGGTGAGCGAGTGAGTGCCAGATTAGTTAAGGAAACTATGGCAATGGACCAACAGCTGCGTTGCTTTCAATGGGGGGGGGGGCGCAATACGGAGGAGTTAGATCGGAGCTGCTGCCAGGCAGAGTAGTGTGCAGGCACTGGATCAGCGAGAAAGGGGCCACGAAAGCAGCAAAAAGGAAAGAAGAGAAGAAAGAAACATTAACGCAAAACATTCTGCATTGAGGTGATTCGAGAGCTCTAGGGAGCAAGGTACAGTTCAGTGGGCCAAGGTGATCGTTGTGGGACTGGAGAATGGACATCGTCAAATTTAGCCATGGAATGCTGTCGCCCACAACCAATCCTGGCGCATCAGGTGCTGACAAATGCGAGACTTGAATTCCCTTCGATGCAGGAGGTTCCGGGATGACTTGCTCAGGAATGTCGTTCCATGCCGCAATGAGGGTGTAAGGGAATGACCTCAGTAGGTAGTTCGGTGCTGTCCGAGCAAGTGGCCATTGCAACTGGAAAGGGTGGCGAGAAGCTAGTTGTCGGCGGGTTCTAGGAGTAGGTGCAGGCGCCGACGGTGGCGGGAGGAGGGCTGTCAGCTGGGGTGGACTCTTTAGTGCAACTTGTACACATATGCAAGCCCTGAGACTGCCCTCCTGAGCTGCAGGCTCTGACGGATCGTGCCAGGTCCGATGATTCGCATTGCCTTCTCCTGCACCCTGTCATAGCGTGCTAGGTGGGATTGGGCTGCACACATGGTGGCTAGGGGAGCGTACTCCCTGAAGGAATGCGCCAGAGAACTTGCCAAGCCACTGTGTCAGCTCTTTGCTCTTTGCTTCCAGCACGGAGTCCAGCCACAAATGTGGAAGACTGCCAACGTGGTTCCAATCCACAAGCGATCTTCACGATCCGCCCTAAGGAATTATCGTCCAGTTTCACTGCTGAGCATAATCTCTAAGATCATGGAGAGCGTTATCAATCGTCAGCTCATGAATCACCTTGAGCGTTACAAACTCCTGACACCCCACCAGTTCGGGTTTCGTCGCCGCCTCGGGACCTCAGATGCGCTACAGGCTCTACACCACGCCTGGATCACAGCCGTCGGCCGAGGCGGTGCAGCACGTATTCTAGCCGTGGATATTGCCGGAGCATTCGACCGTGTGTCCCATGCTGGCCTCCTCCACAAAGTCCGCCATCTTGGCATTGGCGGTCCCCTGCATGCCTGGCTCTCTTCCTACCTAGGTGGACGGTCCATTCAATGCTTGGTGGGCGGCCAAACCTCATCGCTGTATACCATATCAGCAGGAGTTCCCCAAGGGAGCATACTCGGCCCTACACTCTTCCTGATTTACGTGAACGACGCCTCAGAGACCCTGTCACCCGGAGCCCACCTGGAGGCGTACGCCGACGATACTACCTTGTACAGCCTGATATCCCTCGACACATCCCCAGCCGACGCAGCATTGAGCCTCCAGACTTCTGTTGATCGCTTGCATCAGTGGGGCCGCAGATGGCGCATCTCCTTCGAACCGTCGAAGTCCCAAGCCATGACCGCCACTCTCCGCAGAACCCCCATCAATTTGCCTCGTATTGTCTTCGGCGGCACTCCTGTCCTTGAGGAGAAGGCGCTCTCTTTACTTGGAGTGACCTTTGACTCGAAGCTGTCATTCAGCACTCATCTCCGGAAGGTTGCCACTCGAGCCAAACAACGCCTGGGCTTCCTGCGCCGTGCAGCGCACATTCTCTCTCCAGCTGGCCGCACCACAGTATACAAGGCATTTGTTCGACCAGTTATGGAGTATGCCCCCCTCATCTGGATAGGTGCTCCGCCCAGCTACCTGCAACGCCTGGATCATATCCAACGCTGTGCTCTGCGAATCATCGGTCCAGGTGCACTATTACCTAGCCTGGCCATCCGTCGTACTGTTGCCTCGCTTGCCTGCCTATACAAGCTGCATTACCTGCCTGGCCCTCCGCAGCTGCTCTCTGTTTTGCCACCGCGCCATTTCCCCTCATCCAGCCCCAGAACTCGCAGCGAGCATGGTAGCGTCATTGGCCATGACCACCAGCTCCAACACCAGCTGCTTGCATCTGTCCCGCTGGCATTAAAGCGCTCGTTCCCGCACTGCAGTATTAGTGACTGGAACTCCCTCCCCGCCGCTCTTCTGTCCCAGCCTCCCCACAGCAAGGGAATGCAAGCATTCAAAACTAATGTTTATCGCCATCTGCGAAGCACAAACTGGCTCTGGGCAGTCGACTCGCTATGATGATGCTCTCGTCGTTCTCCTCTATCCCTATCTATGCACCACAACTGGCTCAGACACCCGACTCGCCATGATCAGCCATGATGATGCTCCTCTCAGTAACAGCCCTTGTAATTTGTTAATAGTCTCACAGTTTCTCCCGCACACTCGCTGATGTTAACCCTTCCTTTCTTTTCATTTTGCTGACTCGTACAGCTCTATCTTTTGTTTTTGGTGCGTGTTTTTGGCCGTGATGCCGAGACCTCAGGTCGGCAGAGCCATCAATGCCCCACCATCACTGCTGCGTCTCGGTGCAGCCCCTGCTCAATAGTTGTCACGTTCGTCCTAGTCTCAGTATCATTGTCTTTCTTTATTATTTTCGAGCTGGGAGTGTGAACATAGTAAAAAAAAAAAAAAAAAAAAAAAAAAACTCCAGGATGGGCCGAATGAACCCCTTATACACGGCAAGGCGGCCCTCATGACCCAGAAGCCAAGCAGCACGGCGCAAGAATCCCAGGCGCTGGCTGGCCTTGACAGCGACAGCATGGACATGGCGTTGGAACCCAAGCTTAGAGTCGAATGTGACTCCAAGCAGCTTTAGGTGGTCCGAGTCTGGAATAATCTCGCCTGCAAAGGTGGTTGGTGGAAAGTCAGGGCGCTTTCGAGCATTGCATAAAATCAGGCGCTGGCTCTTGGTGGGCTCGACCTGGATCCGCCATTGCTGGCCCCATGCGGCAAGATTGCTGAGGGTTGTCTCAACTTGTCTGTAAGGATGCTGCCTTCTCCTGGAGGTTGTCGTTTGGTCTGATCAGACTGTACACGGTAGTGTCATCGGCGAAAGAGCTGAGCTTTACTCCATGCGAGAGGCATTGGTCGATATCGGCAGCAAACAATACGAAGAGCGTGGGGTCCAGGACGCTGCCTTGGGGCACTCCGGCAGTGATGGGGTACTTCTTGGAAGCGTGGCCTCCAGTTACCACCTTTAGGCAGCGGTTACTCAGGTAGTCGTGTAGCCAAGAGAAAAGAGGTCCGCCGATGCCTACTCGCTCTGCTTTGTTGAGGAGGCCGACGTGAGAGACGCGGTCAAACGCACCGGCAATATCAATTGCCGCTACTGGGACACAGCCCCCCCCCCCCCCCCCCTCAGCTACAACCTGCACCCATTCGCTCTGGAGTGCTGTGAGGAGGTCAGCTGTGCCACGGCCACGTCTAAAACCAAACTGGCTGTCAGGCAGCAGGTCGTTGCGCTCCAGGAAATTGGTGACTTGTTTGTTTATAATACATTCCATGACCTTGGATAAAATCGAGAGCAAGGACACAGGCCGGTAGTTGGATGGCCTGGGTCGAGGTGGCTTCTTGTATACCGGGACAACGTGAGCGAGCTTCCATTGGGACGGTACAACACCGGCACGAAAGCTACGAAAGCTAACACGGAACAGTTTCGTGATGGGAGCAGCAAGTTCCTTATGACTGTGTTTGTGGTTGCAATTCTGTTACAAAGAATTTCTGTTATAAAGAACTTATTCTCCTGCACAATGATGTTCGTTATATCAGGAGTCGACTGTGTACAATCCACACCACGGTACCCGCGGTATTATTTATTATTATTATGAAATGACCCAAAGGCAATATGCCTATCGAGGGGTTCATTTGATTGAAAGAACAGTACTACTACTAGTATGTACAAAGACAAGTATTGTAACATTTGTTTCGTGTCGAAGCAAATCAAGCACGCCCCCGGGGGATCATGATGGCTGAATCTTGCCCTCGCCTACAACAGCTTTACCGTTAGGGGTAAGCGGAACTCCCCCGATAAGTATCCATTAATTTTTGGAGAATCCTTCAAATAAACTGTCTGAATGAATAAATGGATTACGCTCGGAAAATGACCAGATTTTGCTCGCAGGATGCTCGAGAAAACAGCCAGTTATGCTTTTATAATTATGCTTCACCCAAAAGACCAAAAGAACAGATAATCGTCATGAACAAAGGACTCAGACCATTGTCACAGTAATGATGTGGACTGGGAGCTTTGTGGAAGTACAAGACAATAATATGCAAGAGGAATACCAAATTCACAAGCAAACGCTGAACTTTTGGGAGATGTCCTACATGTATATTATAAATCATAAATGGCTGCAAAAATATTATTCCAAATCGACTAGAAGCGCTATGTATGGTTCTTCAATAGCACTATCCACAGTCAACTGGGAGTTACTTGTGGCCAGGCACAAGGGGTACATGGATGCAGCTGATGGGGTCGTTCTCGGCACTTGTGCCAGTGGTTGTGAGACTTATCCACTCACCCCCACCGTTAGGCGCTGCATCTGCCGCTAGGATTTACCGGGTGGTAGCGGCCGTCGTGAGTTCCCTTCGGGAACGGACACGATAATTTACTTACTTACTTACTATAGCAAGAAAGGGTTTGCTCCCCACACCGGAGCTCGCGCTATTCCGCCGATATTACTTGACACTTGACTGACTCACGACTGCCATCCAGAGCACACGAGAAGTCCATCGAACCTTCGACTCGGCAAACCTGCAAGAAAGCACCATTCCCTGCTCAATACACTGTGTTTCGGGGAATTCACCCCTCATCAGTTGAGCTTGAGTAGGCTGAGGAAGATTGTGCCTGAAGAGCACCACTTATATAGTGCTCTCCAGGTACAAACATCACCAGGGATACAAACTTACAGAGACGCTCCGCTTCCAGCGCGATAAACACCTCGTGAACACCAGATAGCAGCGTGAGTCAGTGTCGCTCCTGGACGGTGAGACCAGACGTTGAGGACCCTCGGTCATTCGCAACGCTGTCACCTCCAAACCAACTAGTCGCAAGCCCGCGCTGGGCACAACAGTACGAACGGGGTGATGTTTGTACCTTGAGAGCACTATATAAGTGGTGCTCTTCAGGCACAATCTTCCTCAGCCTACTCAAGCTCAACTGATGAGGGGTGAATTCCCCGAAACACTGTGTATTGAGCAGGGAGTGGTGCTTTCTTGCAGGTTTGCCGAGTCGAAGGTTCGATGGACTTCTCGTGTGCTCTGGATGGCAGTCGTGAGTCAGTCAAGTGTCAAGTAATATCGACGGAATAGCGCGAGCTCCGGTGTGGGGAGTAAACCCTTTCTTACAAATCATCATCGCCGAAGTCGCAACCACTACTTAGTACTTACTATAGCAGGTGTGTATAATTATAACAGCCTCATTGAGCATCTGCCCTTGTTTTTCGGATGCCATTTTTATGCTCCTCGGAAAGGACCTGATTACGACAAAAATTATGCTGGCATAACCCATTTACCCCTATTTACAGCCCTGGTGCTGTGCAGGCAAAATTGGGCAATACGTATAGATTATAGACCGGTTAGGAGGTCTATACAGGATATATAGACCGAGTAAAAGACCGAGGTCCCCCGAGGTCTTTTACGAGGTCTATATATCCTGTATAGACCAACTATGAGGTCTATAATCTATTTATCGTGTTCTCCACGCAATAGTTTCTCTTCATATACGACATATCCTTGTAATTCTTATTATTATACTATAGCCTATACCGCATTGTACGGCATTGCAGGATCAAGCTCATTGTTTAAACTAAGTTCAGCATCGGTAGCACAGTGGCTGGGTGGTAAGGAAGAGTGACTGAGATTCACATGGTTGTGGGTTCGAATCCCATCTTGTGTATTTCTGCTTTCTTCAAAAATTTCTTTTTCTAAGTTGGAGAGAAAATTTCTAAGTCCAAGAAGTTCTAAGGAGTCAAATATAAGTAGTCAAATATATTGTGTATTTGACTAAGCAGTCAAATACGCGATATATTTGACCGCTTAGGTATCAGGGAAATTAGTGGGGTCAAATACTAAGAAGGCGATAAAAGTCTTTATCAGCCATCACAGGATCTCCAGAGCGTACTTGATTACCATGATTACATGAATGGCAAGAGAATGTAATAGTGACGGTGACGTATTAGTAATACTACAAACTAGTATCTAGTGTCTACGCCACTCAGACTCTCACTCATACTAGTCATAGAATTAACACCCCCCCCCCCCCTTTTTGCCCCAGGCCCCAGTAATAGTAGTTTTGTTTGTTTCCGATTCAAATGATGGACAAAACAGTTTGGTCGAGGGCGGGCCGGCGCCGGGGCTATGCGGCCCACCACCTTTTCTGACTGGCTTTCCATTGTACCTGCGGAGCCACCCCCGAGTGATTCGGATTTGTCACAATACACACCACATGTCAGTGCTGACTTGCAAAACACAGCGTGATTTTCAGGTCACACAATTTTCATCCTCGTTATCGATGTTATTGTTTCTTTGCATTGAGTCCGTGTTGGCAGTGTGAGCTTGTGTGCGCGGGGGTGAATGGGGAAGTACACGAAGCACCCATAAAATTAGTCATGGCGAAGGCTGTTGGAGGCGGCTCGAGTGGTGCAGCGCCTTTCAAAATTTTGGCAAGTGACATTGAACGACCACTGACTTATGAAGAAGTCAATCGAGGCTGGGACAATTTGGAGGAAGAACGCTCCTATTGGGTGCCGGCTGCTGATATCGAGGGCACTATACCCGCTGACCTCCATGGAACGCTCTTCAGAAATGGTCCTGGCGTCAACGAAATATATGGCACCATCTTGAAACATCGTGAGTGCACAAGTAATTTGTTGACAATCAATTCCTCAATCATTATGTATTATGTTACTATAAATTTCATGAATCAATGCTGTTGCCCGGAGTGAAATACGACCCCATAAATAGATGATCTCTCTGTTCCAGTGTCTTCAATGGAGCTGCACAGCGGCTAACGCTAACGCTAGTCCCTATGTCAGATTCCCTCACTGAGTGGAGTCGAGCGTGGAGTCTGGCTGCGTGGGTATTGTGTCTGGCCGGGATGGCATCGCGCAACACTTTCTGGTTTCAGATTTTTGCAATCCTGAACCATAGCCAGCAGCAGACAGACACGGAGCACCAAATGAACGCCCCCCCCCCCCCCCCCAATAGTGTGCAATTGTGTGTAGGTTTGCATAGCAGGACCGGTGGAAGCAGTTTTTGATTGGTCCGGCCATACCATAGCGCGGTCCGATTGGTCAGGCAATGGCCGCACCAACATGTTGGTCACCAACGTGTGTTTACTGCTGAGGAGGTCATGTGTACACCCTCCATATCATACACAAACTGTATGTATGAAGGACTGGGCTATGGCTGGTCCAATCAAAAACTGCTTCAGCCCGTCCTGTTTGTGCGTACGTATTTACAGAAGTGGTTATCTTCAATGGCAATCATGCCTGCTCGTTTCCATTACTGTATTTGCCACAGCTATTGATGGCGATGGAATGGTGGTGGCGGTGACTTTTCTCAATGGACAAGTGCACCTGAAGATGGCATTCGTTGCTTCCAAGCACCGGCTGGAAGAGATCAAGCAGCGACGGTACGTCTACGATGGTCAGATGGGAACGCGAAACCGCAGTTCCCTGTATGGGTCGCTGGCGACACTTGGCACGTTTCTCACCACCGGTGGGTTGCCCAAGTACGCGTACCGAAATCCGTCCAACACAAACGTATTCTACTGGGGCGGCAAGGTAAGTGGTCGGGTTGTTAGAATTAAAAGCGATTCGACGAGGCCTTTCCTACCATTACTCTTCAAGTCGAATGCAGTGGTCATAAGAGCCGCAGTGAACACGTCCTTATAACTAAATTATCAGGCATCGTGGCGGTGACAGCAGTGACAAAAATAGCACCTGAAAGCGCTAGCCTATTGGTGCCAACTGTGCGAACGGCTGACTGAGTGTGGAGCTCGAAATGGCATGTAAATGTATTATGATCCGTGTTTGGAAGTGTCCATATGAAGATATTTTATACAGTGATCTATGTTTGGTGGTTTCCATTTTCGGATAAGACTGGACGTTTCAGTGAATAAATGTTTCAATTTAAAAATTTCCAATAAGTTCTGGCCTGCTGTTCTGCTGTGTCACGCAGCTGCTGTCCGTATACGAGACGGGCCTTCCTCACTCGCTGGACGCTCACACGCTGCAGACACTGGGACCCGACGACCTCGGCGGTGCGCTAACGATGGGTGTGTTTGCTGCTCACTTCCGACTAGACATTCGCAGGATGGTGAGCATGTCTTGTTTGCTACAGTTGCTGCTGCTGCTACTGTTTTTGCTGCTGCTACTGCTACTGTTCTTACTGCTGCTGCTGTTGCTCCTGCTACTGATTTTCCTACTACTGCTGCTGCTGCTGCTGCTGCAGCTTGACGTCTGTCTGTATTATCTATCTGTCCGTCTATGTACATGTGTGTGTGTGTGTGTATGTGTGTATGCATGTGTGTGTACATGTGTGTGTGTGTGTGTGTGTGTGTACATGTGTGTGCATGTGTGTGTGTGTGTACATGTGTGTGTGTACGTGTGTGTGCGTGTACGTGTGTGTGTGTGTGTGTGTGTGTATCTCAGCGTCTCGTCTGCATTGCCTTGCGGCCTGGCCTGCGGCGGGCTGCAACGCTGGACATCATGGAGTTTGACTGGAGCTGGAACGTGGTGCAACGCAAGCGCGTCAGCGTGGACGGGCTCAACTACGCTCACGATTTCCTGCTGCTACCGGACTACTATGTGTTTCACATGACACCGTTTGTGAAGATTTCCTACTCACAGGCACTGCTCATCATGGCCGGGCTGACGTCGCCGGGCGAAACCATGCGCTACTATCCGGACCTGCCCTCGCGCTTCGTCTTCATTCCGCGCCCGGAGGGCAAGTGCGAGGAGCGCGACATTGTGCAGGTTGACACGGAGCCGTTCCATGTGAGTTGTCGCTTCTTGATACTAGTACCGTGCACTGCACTTACTTCCTATACTGCTGGAACGGAATCACTTGCCTGTAACCATGGTGACCTGATGCATCCACTGAATTGCGTGAGCCTCTTTTCTTGGCTCAACTTGTTTGATGCTCAGAGTCAGGGTGTTCTTCAAGTGGTCACTTGACCTTCACTTGACCTTGACCAGCTCAACCAGTGGATGTGTATAGTCTGTTTCAAAAAGATTTACAATCAGGTTTGGGTCTTAAAAAGTATGAAGATAAGGGAAAATTGGACAACAAAGTACATAGAATGGCTTGTTAGGACACGGCAAATTGTTCTGTGAAGGTTTCGGAACAATTGGACCAACCGTTAAGGAGTTAGAATTTCGGCCAGGTTTCCGGCCTTTTCCCATGGTTTACAATTTGCCCAGGAAGCCAGTATCGATTTTTTATCAAAACCCACGATTTATCCTTTCCTTTTTGGCCTTGTGGTTATGAATGCTGTCTGCTGACCATGAAGTTGTGAGTTCAAATCCCAACCTATCCTCAAGTCAAACTTTTTTTCATTGTTTTGGTGATCAAGCTGGTACAAGACAAAGAAGATGGCTGCACCAAACGACTTGTTGTTGGAGGTCGCGCTTCCTGCCGAACTGACTGACACTTGACTGGCTCACGCCATGTGAACACACCCACAACACTGCAATGGTGTGAGTGAATATGAAAGTCATCGCGCTGTAGCTTTTTGAGATTTATTTTTAGTATTTCAAGATCGCCAATTTATTTGAATTTAGCAGTCAACGCCGTCTTCTATCAGCGTTCACAAGCGTCTGTTTTTCTCAAAATGTCGTCGAAGTCACACGGATAGCTTTGCCAAGTCATGGCCTTGGGAATGAGTCCGTGTCGATGTCGTTTTCGTCACACGGTGAGTAAATTGCATCGCAGCTCAAAGAAACTATTTTGGTCATGAAACGGATTGGGACACATGCCGCTCGTCAACACTTTCGTTTCGACATGTCCTCTCTGACTCCATTATCGATACGAGGAAGAACTCGTTTGTTGTAAACCAGACGTACGTCCATGACTGTGTCAACGTGAGTGAGTTGTCATTTTTCCTGCTTTCGCGCGGAATATTTCTTCGAGTTCACAGTGAGTTTTTCCAGGCAGCGCTCGAGTGCTCGTACGGTAAGACGCCAAACTCCGCGGGCGATCGCCAGGGTTGTAAATCTTTTTGAAACGGACTGTAGTGACCTCTCATGCTTTGTGGATTAAATGAAGTGGAATATGGAGCATGGAGAGGGGGTGGATGTGGGGGCCAGGTCAGCGCATCAGTCTTGGACCCAGTGTTGCCCTGAACAGGGGATGTGTGTATGTGTGTGTGTGTGTGTGTGTGTGTTTGCGTGTGTGTGTGTGTGTGTGTGTATGTGTGTGCGTGTGTGCACATGGGTGTGCGCGCGCGTACGTGTGTGTGTGTTTGTGCATGTATATGTGTAACATGAACTGTGAAAAACTGACCAGGCAACGAAACATGCTGTGTTATGCACTGTGTGCTCACACCCAGATATATCACTTCGGCACGTCTGAGCAGCATGACATTGACACGGTTGAGTTTACTGCCGTCTGTCTGGATACGAAGTTTAATATGGAGTTTGGTTGCAAGGTGAGAGGGAGAGGAGCCTAGTGAGAGAGAGAGAGAGAGAGAGAGAGAGAGAGAGAGAGAGAGAGAGAGAGAGAGAGAGAGAGAGAGAGAGAGAGAGAGAGAGCGAGAGAGAGTGAAGGAGGGGGGGGGGGCAGAACTTGATGGGTGATGTTACTATCTATCGTCCGGCAACAATGTTGACACCCTGTCCTATAAAATCACCAACAAATGCGAGCTCGCCAGAGACAGAGCCCATTATTTTGTGAATGGACTGTGTGTATAGCATATATCTGTCTGTCCGTCTGTCTGTCTGCAATGCTCATCTGTCCGTGGATCTATTTGTCAATCTTTCAAGCCAGCAACAATCTGGCAGTGTGCGTGTTCGCTAGGCTGGCTGCGTTACTGGCTGGTTGTAAATGTCAGTGTTTGTTATCACTGTGTGTGTGTGTGTGTGTGCGTGCGTGCGTGCGTGCGTGCGTGTGTGTGTGTGTGTGTGTGTGCGTGCATTTGGATGGTGTGTACTTTGTGTGACTGAACAGTACTGGCTGAGCAACGCGCACGTCTCCCCTGGCGTTGTCAAGCACTTCATGGTGGACCTGAAGAGTGGCGTGTGCAAGGCCAAGAAGGCCGACAGAGCCAGCGTGGAGTTCCCCACAACACATCCCTATCGACATGGCCACAATGGCTGCCGCTTCTCGTATCTAATGGCCAGTGATCGCGAAGGACACAACATGCCCTATCGGGATGTTGTCAAGGTAAATTCGCACTACTGTCTAATTTGAAAAAAGAGATGAGCACTATGGCTTTGCAAATCCAGTTTGGGCCGAAATCAGCCTGACAATGTGTGCTTCGGATCGGCAACTCTGTACATTGTGATTCTTAGAGGGTGAAGCGATGCTGGATGAACTGATCGAATGTTCTTTCGCCGAATGATTGAGACATGTAGAATATTCCTAATATTCTGGACCACACTACATTGTACAAATATGTCTATGGACATCAATTCATGCCAACTGCTATGTTCCAAAACTTCAAGCAAGATATTAGAAAGTACGATGATGTCATATTACAAGTCCCTGGGAGAAAACCCCATCTGATTGGAGAGAAGCCTACTCAAAACATAGCACTAAGAGTATAATTATACTCTTGATTGCACCTAGTAGGCACTTTGCAGGGTTGTGGAACCCACGAACTCGGAACCCAAGAACATGGACCCCAAGAGCGCCCAGCCTAGAATATTTGCTCTCTAACAAGGGCGTAGCCACCGGCCCGATTGGTCCGGTTTTCACCGGATCACTTTGTGGGACAATTTTTTTAATGTTTTAGAGAGCCGATGGGAGTTTGGCGATCGATCAAGCACAGTACTGTATGTATGCTGTGTGCGGCAGCACAGAGCTGGGTTGTCATTCTTTTTTCATTCTCTGTTCTTACCGATTTCTGTATTGCATTTCCGTTCATCGTGTTCATTTTGACTGTAAATGAGGCTTTCACATTTCTGAAAAAGGAGCCCTGAACTAGTGTAGTGCCATGTGGTACAGTGTATATGTATGGCCTGGCTCCCAGTCACTACAGGGACAGACCGACGATACAGCCTTTTACTGGGTTCTTTTTGCTTCATGTTGATCGAGTGTTGAGATGGCTGCGAAAAGCTGGATGGTGTCTGCTCCTGGGCTCCCCGATGTTCCCCATCAGCCAGCAAACTTTTCCTTTCCCACACATTTGTACCAAAAAGCACGGATTCACTGGCCAGAAAAAGCCACCTCATAGCTGTGTGGTGTAGACCAGGCTGAATAGTGGCGGTCAATTCTTCAGCCTTGCAAGCTGTTGAATGGTGCAATCCCAGCACAAGTTGCTCTGACTTCTGCCGTAGCATCGCTATCATCGCCGCCGGCGATGGGCGTCCAAAAGGTGTGTTTGTGTCCCTTCCCGTTTCCTTTTCTGCCTTTAGTTTGACATTCGACAGCAGTTGCGCCAGGTGTGGCGTTCTCACGGCTGCATTGGAGAACCAGTGTTTGTGCCTCGTCGCGGCTACGAGGGTTGCGAGTCGGGCGACGAAGATGACGGCTACGTGCTGGTCCAGCTGTACGCGCCACTCCAGCACCGCACCGAGTTCATTGTGCTGGACGCAAAGCATCTAGACCGCGGCCCGCTGGCGCGCGTCAAGCTCCTCCACCACATCCCGTACGGTTTCCACGGCACCTTTGCGCCGCACGTGTTTCTTCCGCAGGCCCGTTCGTCACTCTAGGTCGAGGGCAGGGCACCAGCGATTGAGACACTCCAGTCTGATGCTTGTATTGTCTGATCAGCTAAATGTCTGTCTTTCAACTAATTTTTAGGGGAGGCTTTTCCTGAACCAGTTCTTGCAAGTAATTATGCAAAACATGTAACTGTTTATTATGGTATGGCTAATATTTGCTATACATGTATATGTATATGTAAATGAACATGTATATGTATATGTATATGTAAATGAACATGTATATGTATATGTAAATGAACATGTTTTGTATATGATATGGCTATGCGATGTAGGATTAGTATCTTCTGCTTTGAAGAGAGTTCTCACCACTGCAGGGAAAGACCGGTGACACTGCAGGCATTGGTAAGATGCAGTGTGCTTGTGACGCATTGGAATACAATACGATCATTTGCCTGCATGTTAGCAATAGTATGCTCTCCATTTTCTACTCTATTATTAGCCAGCAGCGCGATCGATGCTCAGCTAATATAAATAACTATATTATGAAGACCTTCTTTTCAAGTGTAACTCCCTCAAACGTATGAATCTGAAGACCTGTTTTTAAAAAAAAAAATTGTTTCAATAGGTTTCAGGCCTTCTACTAATTAGTGTCTTGTGCACACTGGAAAATCCCGACACTGGTGGAGTGTGATTCTATCCGTGTCATAAACATAGTTCATTTAGAGTTCCTGTAGATGAAAGAGATGAAGAATGCAATAGTACACGAGAGTAGCTCCTTCAACACGCGTGCTCGTACTTCGAATTTTTGGCTGCATTTCACATTGGTTTATTTTTATTTTTACTCAGTTGCAGCCATGCCGGTATTATAGCTTTGTTGGACGGATAACTTTTATTTCTACAACAATATGTATCCGACTGCACAGCTCTAAATGTCACTGCCTCTCTTCACTGTTTTTCTGTATGGTTCTAGTCAGTGTAGCAGCAAAGGTGCAAAGTAAGTGCTGTGAAGAACAGGGGTGAGAAGAGTAGCAACCACAGACAACCACCTCACGACGTCCACTAAGCAGAACTGAGACTCACAGGCACGATTCACCATGCTTCCATTATTATTATCTAACATATTTTTCAATGAAGAAACAAAATACTGTAGATACGTGAACAAACGTTTCGGAGACAGCAGTTTTAATATGGCTACTAGGACAACTGTAAGCATTACCTAAATGTCGACATCTATGTGTAAAAATAATGTTATACAATGATCGCAAGAAATGACAAATTAAATGCAATGTTCCGACACAGAAAGCGCTTACGTAGCACAGTGTTCAGAATGATTATCTGATCGGGCGTGTAGAAAATGCTTACAGTGCAACTAGTTGTCCTTGTAGCTATACAAAATCGATACATTCTGGATTGCGGTAAAGATGTTCATGTTCGTGTCGAGAGCATTGTATGGCAAATTAATTAACAAATCACAAAACACAGCTTACAGCATGGGCTGCACAACAACGTGGCTACTAAAGGTATTTAATATTATTTATTATATAATTATAGAACTAAATATTGCGACAGAGCTTTCGGCCATATTTTCAATTCATTGCATTCCCAACTCATCACAACCACGCGCTCTTCAGCCGAACCATACAGACACCAGCAAGGACACTTCCGTTGAGAGATGATATTGCTCCACGCCTCTAGACAGCTGTTTCGCTCCCTGTCGGAGCTCATCAGTAGAGGATGATAATGATGATAATGGAGGAATGATCATTCTTATACACCAGAAATGGCGCAAGTGCGCGCTTTCCACATATATCAAGCTGCTAAAATGGTAAAGTGTGAGAACAGCGATAAATAATCATAGGACGCGCTCATTGGTGGAGAAACACACCACACAGGCGACGAAAATCTTACGCGGAATACTGATGCCAATGGAAAGTACATGTATGTTGTTTATTATTATGATGTTGCAATGTCCATGTATGCAGGCGAGGTGAGACTCACCGCCGAGATCCCCGAACGCGACAGGCTCGGTTGCCGTTCAGGATTCACACCGACCTGTCCGCCCGTCAACAGGATCGACAGCGGGAGGCCCCACTGATGCCGATGTCGATGCACACCAGGAAACTTGTAGTCGTGAGTGTGATACTAACAGGTCTAGTACTAGTAGCAACCACTGACAAAACGAGAGGCCAGCTGGGGCATTCACTCCAGTCAGGGATGCTTGGTCGACGCTTCGTATCAGCAGCTCAGCTCAGTTTGATCAAACAAAGATGTTGCAGATGTGTCTTGCTTTTCTCCTTCCTTCTTCACCGACTCGTCTTGTCATCTCTCCTTCTTTCTTCACCGACTCTTCGTGCCCACTCTGCTCTGCCACTAACGGCGCATTAAAACTTCAGAACTAAATATTGCGACAGAGCTTTCCGCCATATTTTCAATTCATTGCATTCCCAACTCATCACAACCACGCGCTCTTCAGCCGAACCATACAGACACCAGCAAGGACACTTCCGTTGAGAGATGATATTGCTGAATTGAAAATATGGCCGAAAGCTCTGTCGCAATATTTAGTTCTGAAGTTTTAATGCGCCGTTAGTGGCAGAGCAGAGTGGACACGAAGAGTCGGTGAAGAAAGAAGGAGAGATGACAAGACGAGTCGGTGAAGAAGGAAGGAGAAAAGCAAGACACATCTGCAACATCTTTGTTTGATCAAACTGAGCTGAGCTGCTGATACGAAGCGTCGACCAAGCATCCCTGACTGGAGTGAATGCCCCAGCTGGCCTCTCGTTTTGTCAGTGGTTGCTACTAGTACTAGACCTGTTAGTATCACACTCACGACTACAAGTTTCCTGGTGTGCATCGACATCGGCATCAGTGGGGCCTCCCGCTGTCGATCCTGTTGACGGGCGGACAGGTCGGTGTGAATCCTGAATAGTCCATCGGCCAAGTCTCAAAATCGAAAGTGGTGATGCACTGAGCTTCCAACTAAACGCGACCATACCCAGCACGTAGAGAATATATCAGAGAACACTATTCCGTTTGTTGGACGTGCCGAATTCAGTCCAGGGCGTCGATACGAAGCGTTCTTCGTCGCCGAGTTTTTTACTGTGCGCTCCATTTGAGAGTGCGCAGAGTTCTGATCGAGAGTTTTTTGAGCAGATTTTCAAATTTTTGAGGCTGTCAGCTGACAGCTATCAACCCTAAATGGCACTTAGTATGTGACAGGCAATAGGTTTTGGTGCCTCCGTATGCCTTCTAATAAGTTCTATCTTCCTTCGTTTCAATTCGCTGCTTCGCCCACCACCTCAGGAGGTGACAGCGTACCTGCACTAGTCAGCTCTCGCTAACCCTGTCTCTCTTTCTCCGTCTTAGCGCTCATCATTCGTGTCCTTCTGCTGGGGCGAGCTTGATACTGTTGTGTCGTAGTTTTTAGGCAATAGTGGCTGTTGTTCGCGTGACGATCAGGATTTATGGAGAAAGACGACGACTCGCCAAGTTCCCATGCAGCCACAGACGGCGTAGCAATTCTTACCGCCAACCCTTCGAGCAACGGAACCGGCCTGAGTTGGAAATCGTGCCTGTGTAATTGTGCCACGATACGGATGAAACACACAGGCTCACATGTGACGAGATGAAGATAATCTCAACAGGCTGACAGAAATCCAACAGGCTCACGGGAACGCTGCAGTTATGGTCGGAGACGCGGAGTTATTTAGTCACTGGTAAATGTTGCATCGAGTGCTGTGTGCTCTAACACAATTTCAAAAATCATGAAAAAGCGAAAATAATGCAATGGTGGGGCTGAGTGGTGTTCTTTGGAGGAGACGTCGCTGTCTCAGTATTCAACGCCGGACCCTGTATTTCAAGTCTGTGGTCATGCTCGATCATAAGTTCCTGTATGGCTCCAGTGCCTTCTCAGCATTGTTGGCGGGTAAGCACCTGGATCGTGTCCAAGTACTGCGGCTCTGGTGGCTTGAGGGATGTACGGGTGCTCGCCGTGCACCCCTGCCGGCAATCTGCTAGTGAAGCTTGGTACCTACTGTGTCTGGGAGATTTTCATCCAGAAGCTGATCTTCCTAGGCTGGAGCTGCTGCTACTCCTGTGCTAGCCCTCAACCACTGGCGCTCCTACTCGGCTCCAGTGTGGGCCATTAACCACCCTGCCCGATTTCGCACTGTTGCTATTCCACACCGTCAGCATTTAACTCTGAGGTCAGACCTTGATCCCTCCCACCATATGCTATCTGTCTGTCTGCCTCTCTTTCACACACAGATGTGCGTGCATACACACACACACACACATGCACACACAGTGACACACACATACCCATAGCCAACTTCTCTGTGTTTGGTGATCATCATCTGTTTTCTGATGTGCAAGCTCACCTCTGATGCCGATTACTTCCTTGCTTAGACCCGGTCTGCTATTAGACCAGTCTGCTCTCCCTTCACTCGCTTGTAAATCCTACTTGGAGCAATAAGGTTGTGTCACTGCTCCTACTGATGTCATTGTTGTGAAAGCAATATGATCGCCATTGGTGGTAATTTTCCACCGTGCATGAATCATTAACAATCATCATCTATGTGTCACGGCCTAACCATCCTCGTAACTCCCCTCATCGTGACTAGTGCTGTACCGTTGAAACCTACTTTGCTTCAGTGTATATTCGCTCCAAAGCTCTTGTTTTGTTGCATAGTGATCTGACGCAGTGTGCTATAGCCTATCGGGTAATATGGATAAGATTAGTACAGTCGGCATCGCCTATCGAGTGACCAGGTACATGTATAAGGATACTACATGTATACCGGCTTAACGATATCGGAACACAAATAGCACTATGTGTGCAATATTCCTTTCTAAGCTCACGCTGTGCGGTGCAGATAGGTCATGTGTCGTTGCCAACTTGCCGCATGTGCATGTGCAGCAGGAAGACACCACATGTCGACTACTACTTATACTGTACAGCATTGTGTGCTTACATGCATCTACGGCCTTGTGGATGCAATTGAGTCTCACACACATGTACATGAAATATTGCGTGTAGTGCGGCATCAGTTAACATACAGTGGCTAAATATTTTTCTCGCAATAATGACCGTATTCACCACAAGTGTGTTTATGTCCAGAGCCAACTCAAGTCCTGTATTATTTATGACCATGACAACAAGACTTCCGGGCTGAAATTCTTCTATGACAGGCATGAACACTTGCCTTACAATTGTTCGTGATTGTACGAAGTACATATTCGCTGTTGCATCAATTTTGCACCATTTACATTGTAGTGCCACTAGTGGTATCACCTGCATGCGTATTGAGTCAAACAAGGTTACCTCTGTATAATTATGCTTATCGTGGCTATCAAGAGCTTCGATGCAAATTCCCAGCTGACGAATGGTGTCCAGCTTGTGTTCAGCTCAGCTGGCACTCACAACTCATAATAATTCCGTTCTAGACGCCAGATGAGATGTTTCAGCTACAATGTAGACACAACGTCCGTGTTCAAGAAAGCCGTCACTTCATCTTCTGTCCATCCTCAATAGCACGTTCAAGCAAATACATCTGAAACACAGTAGCGACAATCCGACAGCGGCGACACGCCGTCTTCTCCGAATGAGCTTCTACTGTTCTAATTCAGATTCCCCCAAAAATGTCAAAATAAATAATAGATTTCCACCAAGCTCGCTAGAATCTTGCGAACCGTCAACATGCAGGCATTTCAAGTGTTCGAGCGTGCGTAGATTCTGCTCAGCGGCTCAAGAACATTCGCCAAGCGAAAAAAAGTCGATGAGAAAGATGTAATGGTGGACGAAATTACGAAAATCGGAAGAAGGTATTCGACCCAGTTCGACTATCCTGGACTGGATTGGCAACGTCCAACAAACGGATTCGTATTCTATGGGGTCTCATGAGCTAGTGTGCCAAAGGGCGTTTAGTTGGAGCTTCAGTGCATCACCT